GGTTTACCGTAAACTGCGTGTACAATAAGAAATTTACCGCATGCTGTAAGAGTGGGGACAGGGGGTGGGTGACTGGTACAGGAAATAAAAAAGGCATCTTAAGTTTTTACAGGAAGTTACCATTTACAATAAAAAAATCGATTTTTACACTTAAAGATATATTTGATATTTTGTGTTTAAGAATCTATATTGAAAGCTTAATGTGGAAAATGCTTTATACTCTTACAAAATATACGATCTTTGTACAAATCATGGATGAATTAAACGGTTGATTACATTTTAAGTCTTGTCCATGGCTACGAATATACGTTTTTTTATTTATTTATTTGTTTGAATTACATTACAAAGTATAAAAACATTGGACGAAAATATCCCCTCTGTACCGTACACGAGATTTACCGAACTCTGTACCGTTCACGATATTTACCGTATACAAACTTGCACTGCAACAGGAAACACAAAGACGTTACGATATTCTTAGGATACTGACTTCATTGCAAGTGTACGTAGCATTGTCACCTGCATACAATGCTGTGTTTACGGGGACACATAACAATGAGAAAACAACATGAGGTGAATAATTTCTGCGTAACAGACGTCTTACATGGTCATTTTTAAATGAATCTTACTAAAAAATACTACGGGAGTCTCGCCACACTTCCACAAACTTGTCCTGTCCTTGTCCTTCGACAATGTCGGCACATTCGTAGGACTGTCACCCCCATGGATCGAATGGTATTGTCCTATTGTTAAACGCTAACCAAAATTAGTAAACAACATGGCGAACTCGACTCGCCGGAATGCCCAGGCGTCGATCATAAAAAGTGTGGTTAGCTGCTCGAATTCGCCACTCCGGTTCAAATTTTGAGCATAAACGAATATTATACAGTACAAGGATTGCTGCCGCTGCCCCACGCGTTAGGTATTCCCCCCTGTTCGCCTCCGCGCGTGCCCGGATACTCCCTCGCGTGTCCGGGCGTTAAATAGTAGGACTCAGTTATGCATGGACGGATTTTGTTCAAATTTGGTACATACATTAAACATAATAGGACCTTGATGCACGTCTTTTTTTTTTATCGGTTCAAATTCGAAATGGCTGACTGGCGGCCATTTTGTTTTAGAGAATTCAGTTCTGGATCCGTATCCGAGATATGTCTGGATTGATCAAGTTCAAACTTCACACACACAAGGTACATCATGTCATATATATGTATGTGCATTTGTTTCATGATCTCATTAACGATAGCCAAATGGCGGCCGCTTTAAGGCCGAAAATGCATTGAAATCGCACATTTTCACCATTCCGGACCCGGATCTCAGTTATGCATGGACGGATTTTGTTCAAATTTGGTACATACATTAAACATAATAGGACCTTGATGCACGTCGTTTTTTTTGGGAATCGGGTTTGAAATGGCCCACTGGCGGCCATTTTGTTTTAAAGAATTCAGTTCTGGATCCGTATCTGAGACATGCCTGGATTGATCGAGTTCAAACTTCACACACACAAGGTACATCATGTCACAAATGTGTATGTGCATTTGTTTCATGATCTCATTAACGATAGCCAAATGGCGGCCGCTTTAAGGCCGAAAATGCATTGAAATCGCACATTTTCACGATTCCGGACCTGGATCTCAGTTATGCATGGACGGATTTTGTTCAAATTTGGTACATACATTAAACATAATAGGACCTTGATGCACGTCATTTTTTTTCCCGGATCAAGTTCGAAATGGCCGACTGGCGGCCATTTTGTTTTAAAGAATTCAGTTCTGGATCCGTATCCGAGACATGTCTGGATTGATCAAGTTCAAACTTCACACACACATGGTACAATGTATATCATGTCACAAATAGATATGTGCATTTGTTTCATGATCCGCTTAACAATAGCTGAATGATGGCCATTTTAAGGCTGAAAATGCATCAAAATCACGTATTTTCACAATTCCGGAACCGGATCTCAGTCATGCATGGATGGATTTTGTTCAGATTTAGTACAATGTGTTGTACATATACAGGTGCATTTCGGTCATGATCTGCTTTGAAAGTATATGTCACTCAAATATGAACGGAACGGGGACGTGTCATTGACAATGACTTGTTTTTTGTTTTTTTCAGTTGAAGCTCAAATGATGGATAGAATATCATCCGTATCGAAAAGTGCATCAGTTTTAATGAAAAAGGTAAGTTGTATATTGCAAGACAGTTTAGACAGATTATTATTATTATTTTTTAAGAGCACATATCTTTGTTTTCGTCATTTTAAAATATTGAACATGATAAATTGTTTGTGCGATAACAGATTTAATCCAAACTTAGCACTGGCATTAATGCTGGTTATTTTTTTGACTCCCGTCTACAAAGCAGTGTCTGTGTGTATGTGTGTCTGTCTGTTCCACTGATATTTCAAAAACCAATTATCAAATTTGAAACTTCGTACATAGATGCTCTGAGATGATGCTCAGACTCGATTAGTTTTTGGTTGAAATCTGTGCATATTAATTAGCAAATTTCATGCATTTTCACTTGTTTCTCATGTATTATTCAATTCTGAGATTTTATAAAGACCTGATTTGTTTTTGGTTGAAATCTATGCATATTAATGATCTAATTTGCATACTACTTGAAGCCAATTTGAAGCACTTTCACTTGTTTCTCAAGTACCATTCAGCAGATTTTAATGAAACATGTTACATATATGCTCTGGCAAAGGTCATATCATGTTCAGTATAGGGTTAAATATTGTGGTTACTAATTGCCAAATTTGCATTAATTAACCCATTTATAGGTGCTTCACAGATAAAGTACCACTAATCAAAGTTAAATAAAACTAGGTACATAGGTGATTCTGGATAATCCACAGGGTTGAAATCCATGCATGTTAATTACCTACTTAGTATAATGCA